GGGGGGGTGAGGGAGAGGGGAGGAGACAGACAGAGTGAGAGAGAGATAACTTCCTGCTGTCTGCTGATTCACATCAGGATCGGGGCCAGAGGATTTCCAGGACCTAGACAGCATCAAACACAGACACTGACATTAAGCAATGGCCAGGATGACCTACACTAGCTACCCCAGGCTAGTCTCCCAGGAACTCGAAGGAGAATACCTTCACCTAAGCACTCTGTATCCATTCTCGGGAAGCTTATCCTCAAAGAAGCAGAGGTGACAGTCATCAGCAATAGGAAAACAGCAGAAATACTAGGGAGAAAACCCACCCGCACCCGGGCAAGCCAGGGAAGCCTCCCTTCTCAAGAGGCGGTATTTCAGCTGGAGTGGAAAGGACGCACGGACATTGTTTTGGCAAAAACGAAACAAAACACAGCTCTACTTCAGTCATTATGTACATAGGGAGGGGTAGCAGTGGGAGATAAGGCCAGAGAAACACTGTATTAGAAACACACTCTTAAAACAAAAGAAGAGATGAACCCTGACTAGCCCTTCCAGAGCTCGCTGCAGGAGCAGCCCTGAGGTGGCTTTAAATTACAAGGGGTCATCAAAACACATTTCCTTGAAAGTCCTCTAACTGGGAAGATGTGAACAAATAGACTTAATAGGATGAAAATATCAGTCGATACCAAGCCTCTTAAAGCATGCAAATCAGCTCAACCAATATGTACATAAAGATGGCAGGTATCTGATTTGTCATTTTAATGAGAATAAGCACCCTGGATTCCAGATGTGAGGTAAAGAGGTCCCACAGAATTGAGAAATGGGAATAAAAAGGAAATTTAAAAAAACTTTCCTTAATATGAATTTGCTAACTTTGATTGCTCATAACTTCAGAAAATCAGTTTAAAAAAAGGCTTACAGCCCGGCCACTGTGGCTCAGCTGTTGAGCATCGACTTATGATCCAGGGGGTCAGGCTGGATTCCTGGTCGGGGCACATGCTCAGGTTATGGGCTCGATCCCCCAGCAGGGGGCGTGCAGGAGGCAGCCGATCAATGACTCACCATTGATGTTTCTCTCTCTTTCCTTCCCTCCTTCTCCCTTCCTCTCTCTGAAATCAATAAAGATATATTAAAAAACAAAAAACAAAAAAAAACCTTGATATAATAAATTCAGATAAAAAGAATGTACCTATAGTACTTTGGTACTTATTAGCAATATGAACATATTAATTCAGTCTTTCATGTATTGTAATTAGTAAGCAATATGTTCCTGTCACAGAGTAGGAATTAGAGATAACTTAACAAAAGACACCTTACACCCTTATAGCACCCAAATAACTACCTAATTACAGGTAAGTAAGCAGTAAGTGCAGCGAAAGATAAGTTCACGGTTAAATACTTTTCCAGCTTTGAGGGCAACGTTAGTACAAATACACTGAAATCTTATGTTGACTAACTGAAAGATGGCTGAATTTAGAACACCAAGAGTTTTCATCATAATCATAATGGACAAAAATTCCATTATACAAAGTCTTAATGATTTATTCCCTCTAGTGTCACAACTACCTCTGTCCGCAGATTAAGATCATGAACAGGTTTGCATCCGTGCGCACAACCTCATGCTGAGAATACTAATGAAAACTGCAAGGATAAGAGACGATCAAGAATGTAAAACAATATATTGGGAATCAAGTTCTTCAGTTTATCTATAACATGGCCTAAAACTTACACAGATAACTTAGCAGAAGTATCCCTTTGAAAAAAAACAACAAGAACCTCAAGATTTCAAGGAAGAGCAGAGATTCAAAAGAGCAAATGATACTTAATATTATTTTCTAGCCTTGAGTTAATGCTATAAAAGTCAAAGAATTACAAAAAGTTAATAAAGCCAGTTTCTCACATGAAACCTCACAGAAGTATTAATTCAGTGAAACTGTTCCATTTTTAACTATGTTTTCAGCATATATTAAAGATTCTAATATACTGATAACATGTCTTTTTAAATTTTACAAATCTGGTCACCCTGCAGCTATCTTCTTATTGGAAGCTGAGAAGAATGAGGTTTGTGGATGCTTTTTGCTGTCACTGTGCCAAAAGTGCTGACCCTTGAACAAATGGCTGTTGAGAACTCAGGATTAATATCCACACAGTAGCTCTGAGATGCGCGGAGTGATGCTATTTTGTAATTCTGCCCATGCTGAGGAAACCACATGTACAGACAAGTTAACAGAGAAGCCATAATGGATTCTTCTGATAAATCAATAATTAAATCACCTTACTATGAAATCCACATTTTGCTATTATACTTAGGTTCCAGAATATTTAACAGTCACCTTAATCAATCCCAAATATAGTTAAGAAAGCAAAGAAATATACACACTAATTAAGATTACCTTTGCTCCAAAGATGACGAAAGCTTTTGTCCAAAGGTTGATTGAGAATCACAAGGCAGTATTTCAAATTTCCTATGGAAAAAAAGAAGTAAAATAAATAAGTAACCTGAGCCTCATATTTCCCTCATTTGAGTATGGAATCATACTCTACCAGTCCAGGTTTTCAATCTACAAAGAAAAAAATTTCAACCACAACTAATTTTTCATTCTCTTATTTTTTTCTCATACCTCAATTTTAAAAGACACCATTGATTAACTTTATCTACTTTATTCAATATGTCCATTGCATTCCTATATGTATTATAAAAAAGTTTATTGTAAAAAAGAAATTCTTTATAAAAATTTATCATAAAAACAACTGGGCAAGCTTCTTTTCTTGCAGTTTACCTGTGCCAGTAAAGTAAAATTGCAGATTTTTACATAAACAAATCTTCACCGAATGGCTCAGAAGTTTTAAAATGTTCTTCTACACACATTAAAGATAATACAAATTCTGTCAAAGTACAATCATACAAGAAAATGGCAGAACGGATCACCTGGACCTCTTAGAAGTGGCTCTCAACAAGCTTCAAATACAACCTAGCCAGCACTGACAAGAACTTAGTGGAAGGAGGGATGGAAAAGCTATGAATTTTGGATTTATATCAATTATCACAAATGATAAATCTACCCTTAAGTATTAGAGTAGTGGATCTCAACCTCACTGCTTATCAGTCACAGATTTAAAAAAAAAAAAAAAAAAAAGGCCAAAAGCCAATCTGCTTCCCTACATATTCTGATCAATGTCCTGAGCTGAGCTTGTGCATCATGGTTTTTTAAAAGCATCATAGGAGAGTCTAATGGGTAACCAAAGTTGAGAACCTAGTATGGTGCCCTAAAATATTAACTAATGATTGTAGAAAGTTATCATAAAGAGCAACATTATTTTAAAATACTGTTTGACTTTATCTTGCTCTTTTTAATTGCTGTTTTGTGGAAAAAAAACCCCAAAAACGTACAGCATACCATCAAAATTATTTGTAATTTTTTCTAAATAAACATCAATAGTTTGCTTTCTTTAACTGATATGGTATGAGATTTTTTAAAGAAAGATTAAAGACCAGTACTCTAAGTGCAAATACACTGAAGTGAAGCACAATTTACAATAGAAAAAAAATTGGCTGAGATGCATTAGCAAGTTATATTCAAAGGTTTATGATCTCTGTTTAAAAAATACTGGAACTCAAACAAGATCAATATTAGCCAAAAACACATGCCAATCATTATATATAAAATACCTATTTTTTTTAGAGGACCAAAAGCCATTATTATGAATCTCTCATCCCTGAAAGCATTTCGATTAAATCATGAAAACTCTAGGGCACGGAGTTCCATTTTCATATTGCACAACTTCTATATTTAAGAGGATTTTTTTAAGTGTGCACTGGGAAATCAAAACTGTCAAGCCAATTCATTCTTTGAGGAAATAAATTGCATGTGGACAAAGCAAAACTATTAAAAAGCTCTAAACAAATATTCCATACCTAAGTCTATTAAAATAATTGAATTACCAATAGACTAAGAATTGGTAAATCACAAGAAATTGCTTCTGAGAAAGTAAATATAGACATAAACAGGTATTTCTCTGCAGTCTCTTGCCCCCACAGATTATTTGATATACCCAGTGGCACCCCCTTCCATTGGCAGTGTCCCAGCTTAGATGATAAAGTAGATGCTCACTTGACTCTACTTCATCTCCAGACCCCCTCTCTCTGTTTCAATCTTCAGCAAAACTCACTTCTATGAGGTTTGCACCCACCACTTCTGGGAAATAACTACTTCAGGGTCAGTGATGAATTCAACGGCTATACCTCAATTCTCATCTTGGCCAACCCATCTCAGCAGCGTAACAGCAAATCACTCCTTGCGCCCTTCCTTCCGAAATCAAGTTCTGCCCCTGGCTTCTGGGAAACCCCTCTCTGTTGGCTCTCTTCCTACCTGACTGGCCGCTCCTTCTCAGTCTCCTTTTCTACTCATCTGAGCAGAAAGCCCTCAATAAGCATTTGCTGGATAAATGTTGAGTATCCCAGCCTCTATACCAGGAGTGCTCCAGGTATCTATCCTTGGGCCTTTTCTGTGTCAATCTGTACTGACTCCCAAGTAATGCCCTCTGGACTCATGGTTTCAAATACCATCTATAATGATGGCTTCTGTATTCATGTCTCCAGCCTGAGCGTTTCCCCTAAACTCCAGGACTGTATGTGTAATTGCTTGTTCAACAATTCCCCTTGGATATGTAACAGGCATCTCAAACTTAACATGCCCAACATGAAACTCCTGACTGTCCTTTCTCTATCCCAAGCTTGCTCTTACCAGGCTTGGCCACCTGGTATCACTAGCAACCTATTCACAGGAACATTTTCCATCTATAGATTTTACCATATGGCCCTATAATCAGCCTCACTTCCACACTCGCCTCCCCTAAACTCTGTTCTCCACTCAGTAGCCAAATGGATCTTGTTAAAATACAGTCAGATCAAGGCGACTATAACCCTCTGTTCAAAACCCTCCACTGGCTTCCTTTCCATTTACAGTAAAAGCCAAACATTCCTAACAAATCACCTACAAGGCCCTACATGATCCCACGGTTCTTCCTCTCTCTATGCTGTGCTATCCTCTCTCTGTTACAGACACCACCCTGGTTTCCTTGTTGGGCTCCTCAGATATACCAACAACTCCACTTTTCATATTTCTACTACAGACAGCCTCCAGCCGAGCGAGAACCTCACTCTCTCTTACCCTAACCCCTCGGGGCTCTGCTCGAGTACTGATTACCAGGGAGCTTCCCTGCCCACCCTACCTTCCACAGAACCCTGCCACCTCACACCACCAGCCCTTGACCTAATTTGGTTTTTCTAATGACCCTACCACCAATTCATTCCTTCACCCTTTTTTCTTCTGTTTTTCTATCCTCACTCAAGGATATTTTCTCCATTGCTTTTCAGAGAGAGTGGAAGGGAGATAGAAACATCGCTGTGAGAAAGACATATCGATCGGTTGCCTCCCATACCCACCTCGAGCAGAATCAAACCTGCGACCCTTCAGTCCGAGGGCCAACACTCTAACCACTGTGCCAAACCGGCCAGGGTCACCCTTTTTCCTAATGTCCGTCTCCCTACATGAAGACATAAGCTCCTAGGTCAAAATACCCCGATAAGCTCTCACAGGCTAGAAAGGCACGTCAGTTCAGAAAAAGAACATTTTCTATTTTACAAGGTTGTAGGGGGCAGAGGGGAGGGAGGTTAAGTCTGACAAAGTTTGGAGTCCTTCTTGGCATAAAAGGAGACCATACCAAGAAATATGTTTGTCACCCTCTCAAAGGTTAGTCATACTCTTGTTCCCAGTAAACGCACTCTCAGTAAAACCCCGATGAAGGGAGCTGAGGGCTTCATCGTGGAACAGGGGCACCTCCACGTCGCTGCCAGTTGGCCGGGCTCTGGAGGCCTGGGCCTCAACAAACTGTGTTTCCTGACAGTCAGCAAAACCAATCCCTGCCTAGCAGACTGTAGATGTAATGTCACAACCCTAAGGGTTCATCCTAAGGGACTAACACATTATAGGCCATCACATCAGTTTTGACGTGCTGGCAGCTGGGACCACAATAATGCTGCACTTGAAAAGCGGGTTTTAAATGTTCTCTGCAGGCAGAGGGCATCGAGGTTTGGCAAGTGCTGCTGGGACAGGCAGAGGCCAGGCTCCTCCTTTTGTCCTAGCGCTACTCCTACAATGCAACCCGTTTCTGACCTCCTGGCAAAGCGCAGAATCCCCTCCCTGCCCAGCAACAGAGGAGGGTCAGAGGTCCATCTGGCCAGCGCGCTCTCCCCTTTTAATACTTTCTCCAGACCTCCTACTGGGTGGCCTTTGGCTGGCTGTGGTAAGCAGTGTTTTGGGCATAGGTGAGTTTCAAAGATTTGGAGCTTCACACGTAACAATACTGACACCACCTTTTATTTTCTTTTTAAATACTCCTTAAACAGGAATTTGATTCAAGAGTCATTCCAATATTTATAATCAAAATATGTCCAAATTAAGCTAACCTGGGTCATATTCAAAGCACACACTGATGTTCTCTGAGACCTAGCTTATAGGAAGAAAACAACTAACATTATTTGTAACTGCAGAGTTTGCTAAGCATGTCCCACTGCCTTCTTCAATGGACACTGATTACACAGCATGCTACCACAGGATCAAAGGACTTCTGAACAAAAGAGAAGTCTTTCTGTTCGCTTTTTTTAAAAAAGGAGAAAGATTTAAATAGATTTAAATTCAAAATAACCGGGTACTATGAATTCGGATTACACACTCAGGAGTCCATCATGTCAAGAGTCAAACCCACACTGGAGGAAATCTTACTAAACTCCAGGCACTGTGGGCTTTGAGAGAACTCAAGAGGAACTCCTGCCATCAGTAGACAGAGCACTGGCACTGATAAATGGTCTGCACCAGGCCATGAGGTAGCGCCTGGCACACAGCACCGCAGTGGCCCTTACTCAGGTCCAGGTCAGGTGAAGTCAACAGAACGGGTCAGGTCTCTACTGCTGCTGGTTTTTATTCTTTTTCATAGACAAATATATACACGACATAGCCTGTAGGCAAAGACATCCAAAAGTTTTGTTTTTAATAAAAAAGTAATGGAAACGATGCATTAGCATAGGATTGCACTATGTCCCACACAGTAGAGCAGTTCTACACGATCTAATATGGAAAATCTTCAAGATAAAAGGGGGAAAAGCAAGATGAGAATGAATGGCTATATTACAAAGCCATCTGAATAAAAAATTAAAAAGAAAATTATATACATATATTTTTGCAAATACCAAGAATACCTATCGAAGAGGAAAATTTTTAGCTGGAACACAAAAATATAAGAGCATTACTTTCCACCTGCTAATCTTTTATATCTTATAAGTGTGGTGCCCTGTGCTTATATTATAAAAAAAAAAGTAAAACAAGAGTTAACTGATGAAAAGAAAACACCCCTTCCTTCCCAGGTATTGTGTTCCAGACTGAAGAAGATGATGATGGCCACCAAT